CTATTAGTACTTACACACACACACACACACACACACACACACACACACAATAGTGTACAGAAATTCTAGCGCATTTCAAAGGATGAACCGATGTAGAGTGCGTTTCAAATCTTATACTTAGGCAGCTATGAAGTATAAAGTTTTTCATTCAACACATCAGATAAGTGGACGAAAAGACCTACCAAACTAGGCTCAGCGAGTGCATAACACTTTCTCCTCTAGCTTACACTATCCTCACACTTAAGAATAAAGGATCAGGTTTAATTAGGATCACTGGTTTGTCCGGCGCCCGGAAGACGAAAAGGAGTTCCAATAAATTCTGCCGGAACCCCAAGCAAGAAGGATGTGCCAGCTGGCGCAACATGGGCACTTCAGCTCCTCCTCCGCGTTCCCAGGAGACTGGCAGGCCGAAGAGCTAGCTGAGGAGCCTGCGTGCAGGTACCTGGACCGCGGAGGGGGCGGACCGCAGACGCAGACCGCGCGTGGGGCGGGGCGAGGCGCGTCCGGGTCGCGGGAGGGCGGTCACGGTCATGGGCGGCGGGCCGGCCCCGCCCCGAAACGCCCCGTCCCGGCGCCTCCCCAGGGCCCCGAGGGTCCCGCCCGCGCGCTTCTCCTCGCCTGCGGGCTGTTCCGCTCTCAACCATGGCTCAGTACTTCTCCCTGGCCACCTGTGACGTGGTGGGCTTCGACCTGGACCACACGCTGTGCCGCTACAACCTGCCCGAGAGCGCCCGGGTGAGTGGCGGCGAGGTGGGCGGCACAGGCTGCCCCGGACGCGCGGCGCATCCTCCGTGTAGGCTGCGCTGAGTCTCCGGCACCACCGGATCCGCCCCGCCGGGAGCAGGGCGGAAGTGTGCCTGCTTTGCCTGCGAGGCTGGCGGAGAGAGAGGGAGGGGGCGGCCGAGGGGCCCCAGGATGGGGTGGGGGGGAATCCTGTGGGCGAATGGGTTTTAGGGCAGGTGGCATTGCGGGTCTTTGCGGATCCCGGCTTCCGGCGTTTTCTTTGCAAGTTCTCTGGGCACCCCCTGGGTGTCCAGGCAGCCACTTGCTTTGGAACTTGGATGAAATGTGTCTGCATCTTTCCTTTTGCACGCCCAAGGGATAACCTGCCAGAGTTTAAGTGCCGCAGTCTGTGAGAAAATTGTGTCACTGTATCGAAATGAACGCTGGCTGGAAAAAGTCATTAACATCTTAGCCCTGTTTTTGCCTTCACTAGAAGAAGAAAATAAGTATTTGTTCCACATTGCTTGGTCTGTGCACTTTAAATAAAGTATTCTCAGCAACCTGCAGAATCTGGGTCTTCACCGCCCTAAGGGTGAGGGGAGTGGAGTGTTGTTTGTAGATTGTACCTTTATATTAATTGTCCTGACTTCTCTGTTCCTTTGGTTTCACAGGAAACTGAAGAATTACCACTATTACAGTGGACTCCTCAGCGAATGTGTCTCCAGTTTAGGACACTAGCTCTATGACACTGGGCAAATTACTTAACTCGAGTTCTTTCTCAGTTTCCCTTGGAGGATTAAGTGAGCAGTGGATGTGCAATGCTTAGAGCTGCCCCTAGTTAAAAACAATTGTTTTTATGGGTTGTACCCAGACCATTTGGAAATCTCACCATTTTGGGGTAGTACTGCAGAACACTGGTGCAGACATCAGCCAAGGCTGTTCAGTGTAGTCCTATCAATGCCTCAGTCAGGGTAGGTACTAGATTAAACATGAGTGGTTCCTGAATTGCTCGGGTGTGTTCTGTGTACAGATCCTTTTGCCACCCCTGTCCTTTTCTGTTTATTACCTAGGTCTGATTTCCTTAGTCATACCTAGAGTCCCAAGACTTTTCTTTACACCTAGTTCTCTTAGATTGTTGAGTGTTATTTTCCTTCCTTTATGCCTTTCAGATCCCTGGCTGGTTAATAGTTTTTTATGAATTTCATCTATTTTTACCATTTACAGGGAATGTTGTTTAATCACTGTCATATTATGAACTAGTTTTGTGCGTGTGTGAGCATACATTTTCAGAATAGAAGATCCTCAAACACAAGCCTTGAATCTAAGTGACGGTTAAAGGTTGCAAACAGTACCGTGGTGTGTTTCAGATTATGTTCTGTGTAGAAATCCTAAGCCTTACAGCGTGTTGAGCATCAGAATAGAAGCAGAGATCCAGAGATCAACCATACACAGGTGGCAGCCTCTGTGGGCAGCAGCCTGATAGCAGAAAGATGGTGTAAAGTTCCTTTCTGGTCCTGTGGTAGAGGGCAATACTTCCTGAGTGTTGCTACATGCTGCTGCCTGTACCTGCCAGCCTCCTCCCTTCTGCACAGTGTTTCTTCACCCTGCTGGGTCTCATCTTGAATAGTGTCATCTTAGGAAACCATCCCCAGGTCCTCTTCTCTCACCCCAAAGTTTACAAACACTTGCCACATCTCCACCTCCAATTTTTCTTAAACTTAATTTGTCCCAACACTCACCACAACGTTTTAACATTTCGTATTTACTTCTTGGAAGCCTCCCCTTAGATTTCCCTAGCACCAGCCTGTTTGACAGTGTATTCTCTGTCCTAAACATTAGTGCTGAGCACACTGGGCTCAGTAAATTATGGCTGGATAAATAAAAGGACTTTAGTAACTGATTATGACACTGCCACTATCTTTTTATGTATATGTGTGCATGAATGTGTAGGTGTGCTTCACCCACATGTGTGCATGTGGAGGCCAGAGATCGACATCAAGTGTATTCCTCTGTTGCTCTCTGCCTTGTTTTTGAAACAGTCTGTCACTGAACCAGGAGCTCCCCCATTTCAGCTAGACTGGACCCTGAGATCTGCCTGTCCTGCCCCCTAGCTTCAGTCCTTGGATTATGGACACAGGCCACTGCACCCAACAGAGCCACTGTTCTAATAGGTGTTCTGTATATATGAACCAATCGAATTTGTATTAGTTAACTTTTCTCATTGCTGTGACCAAATACCTGATAAGTAGCAACTCAAGGAAGGAAGAATTTTGTTTCATGGTTTGTGGGGTTTCAGTCAGGGAAAGCACAGCAGCAGGACCAAGAGGCAGCTGGTCACATTGCATATACAGCCAGGAAGCAGAGAGAGAGAGGGGGACGGAGAGAGAGAGAGGAATGTTGGTGTCTCACTGGCTGTGTGTGTGTGTGTGTGTACATATACACATGGGGCATTTCAAGAACAACTTTTTAGGAGTTGTCTCTGTCCTTCCTCCATGTGGGATCTAGGGATCAAACTCAGATTCTCAGACTTGGCAGCAAGCACCTCTACCTATTGAGCCAATTCACTGACCCCTGCACTTTATTTTTTGAAGCAGAGTCTCTTCACTGACCCCGAAGCTCACCATTTCATCTTGTTTGGGTAGCCAGAGAACTTCGGGGAGTCTCCTGTCTTTGCCGACTTGTGCTGGGGTTACAGGTGCTTACGCCCACACCTGAAAGTGCTGAGAATCTGAACTCAGGCCCTCACAGTTGTATGGCAAGCACTTTACCCACTGAGCCATCTGCCCCCTCCCCCCCGCCACTGCCTTTTTTATTTCATTTTTATTCAGTCTGGGACCCCTGCCCCTGGAGTGGTACCACACTTGCCTTCTCAGTTAAACTTCTCTGGAAACAGCCTCAAAAGACATGCGTAAAGGTGTAGAGGTGTGCCTCCAAGGTGTTTCCAAATCCAATCAAGTTGACAAGATTAGCTATGATGAAATTTTTGTAGCCTCCCTGGAGGAAATCTGTTCATCACTGCAGAGAGATGATAACCACAAGGCACAGAAAGGTTAAGTTCTTCCCAGTTTGCCTAGGTCACCCGGCAAGGTAGAGTGGTTTGAATTCCTGTTTGTTACCTCCTCTGCCTCCTCTGTGTTTTCTCTGTATAGGACTATAAAGTGCAGAGGATAGCCCCAGGGCAGGATTTCTGCTGTGGAGTTGGAATTGGCACAGCAGAGTCAGGGATCTAGTAAGAATAGCAACCTGAACTACCAGATGCTATTCAGAAGGTGGTGAACTGCAGAAGGTTCTGGAGAAGTCAGTGGGGAATCTGCTAAATGGGAGAGCTGTGTGAGGCTCTCCCTTTTGTGTTTTGGACTTTCAACAACTGCATTATGATATACAAATGTGGACCTGTATGTGTCCCTTCCCCCAGGGCCTCAGGAGCAACATCCCAGAGGACATGACAGATGACACTCCTGTTCCTCTCAGGCTGCAGACTGAGAGGTCAGATAACAAGCAGCTTACCTAAATATGTGGTTGGGAGAGGCGTGTCTGGCACTGGAGAGTGTGCACCCCATCTGAAGGAACAGCTGCCTTAAGTCTTGCCAACATGAGCATGAGCTGCTCTGTCTTGCCAGGTCTTCTGATTGACTTATGGAAAATTGGAAATCTGAACTAATTTGAGATATCTTTCCATTTTTGAGCATTGCCTCATTTTCCAGCAGCAGTATTATAGTGTTGCTAGATTTAGCAAATTAAAATACAGGGCACCAAGCTCAATTTGAATTTCAAATTACAGAAGTATTCTTAGTTTCTGTGCAGGCCCCAACTATTATATGGAATATGCTTATCAGAAGCAAACTGTTTGCTAATTAATCTGGAATTTGAATTTACCTAGTTGTTCTTTATTTGACAAACTAGTGGGAACCAAACAAAATTTGTGGGCTGCATGTGGCCTTCACTGAAAGGCATCTGCCCCCTATTTCACACTAATTTTCAAAGGTGCAAACCCCACTGGTTCAAGACTACAAACTGCTGGGACCCAGGGCAAGCCTAGTGGGTGCACCATAGCTGGATTACTGGCTGGTGGAAGGGAAGCCTCTTCAATGTTCAAGAAGCATGTAAGCCCTTAACTTCTTAGTAACTTGAAACAGGCCGTGGTGGGAATATTTATACCATAGAAATGGCTGGTATAAAAGTTAGAGTGGTGCTTTGGTTTGTGACTAGCACAGGACTGATGATAGCAAGTGCTTCAATAGATTTGTTCACCTACCAGGCACTTCTGAGTGCTTTATATCTGTTAGCCGTATGACATTAGGCCTTGCAGGCAGGATCATGACAGATCCTTATTGTCAACAATATTTTGTACTTGGTGTGATTTAATACATTTTAAAAATTATTTTTCAAATGTATGTCAGTGGTCCCTGGCCTTCAAAAATCTTATAGAAGCCTCACCAGGGTACCTCCCATCTCTGTAGGTTAGAATCTGTTTTAAGAAGCAGCACTCATTCTGAATCATCTCTTTGATTGAGAACTATTGCTATATAGTGTTGCTATAACATGGGACTATTAACAGTTGACCTGGAGAAGGGACACGATACATTGAATGGAAGCTATACTTGGTGTTTCTTAATTTGCTTTTGGACAGAGAGCAGTGCTATCTGACAGGAGCTTTTGCTTTCTCCATACTCATTTCCTGACACTCAGACCCCACCACCCCAGCTCTGACAGTCCCCTCAGTGTCTGTCCCTTACTGGTTCTCCATGTCCCAAATTCACCCAGCTCTGCCATATCTTCCAGATATTTCTGTAAGATGCCTTCCACTTACTCTTTTGTATTATGCTAGCTGTTCCCTTGTGATATACCACTCTGTCACAGTCTGTCCTGGGTTGATGTCAGAGTGCTGCTCAGTGTATCCTGGACATGGCTGTCAGATTCCAGACCACTGTTCTGCATCACATTCAAATGCATCTGAGGCTGGGTTAAAAATAGTCTTCTAAAGTTGTCCTTATGTGGATTGTTGTTTACCTGTAGTTTGTTTGAATGAGGAGGTCCTCCATGGACTCCAGATATTTGAACACTTGGCCTCAGTTGGTGGCACTGCTTGCAGAGGTTTAGGAGGCTCAGCCTTGCTGGAGAAAGCTTGTCACTGGGGCTAGGCTTTGAGAGTTCTTAGCTTTGCCGCCCCCCATATCCATTTTCTCTCTCTCCCTCCTTCCCTCCCTCCTTCCCTCCCCCATCCTTCCCTCCCTTCCCCCTCCCCCCTCCTTTCTGGGAGTGATTGAAGATGTGAGTGCTCAGATTTCTATTCTGGCTGCCTCCTGCTGTGCCTCCCATCCATGATGATTTTTAGCCCTCTGGAACCATAAGCTCAAATAAAAATCTTCCTTCTATAGGTAGTCTTGGTCATGGTGTTTTATCACTTCTTTGTGTGTGTGTGTGTGTGTGTGTGTGTCTGTGTGTCTGTGTGTATGTATACATGCATGTGCGGGTGGAGGCTAGAGATTGACATCAAGTCATCAGCTGCCTTCCTCCTCAGTCTCACCATCTTTTTTTTTGGCGGGGGGGAGCGTGATCTGTCACTGAACTTGGTTCACAGATTCAACTATGCTAGCTGACCAGCAAGCTCCAGAGATCCCCATCTCTGCCCCTGTAGCACTGGGGTTACAGATTTTTGCATGCCCAAATTTTTACATGGATGCTGGGAATCTGAACTTGAGTCCTCATGCTTGTGCAACACACACTTTCCTAGTAAGCCATCTCCCCAACCTCAGGCCACTTCTTGAAGAAACAGCCACAGATGCTTCAATCAAAAATCTGTGGTTTACTGTTGTTGAAAAATCAGGTCTGACAACAGTCAGAACTTTCAGTTATCCTGTCCTTGCTTCCAAAGGCTTCCCTTGTTGTTTCTGTTTTTCTTTGGGTTGAGAAACAAGAGACTCCTTGTGTCTGATAGAAGCCTTGGGTTTCCTCCTTTAAATCATCTCCCTGATCATGTGTAGTGTATTTCACCAAGTCTCCTCTCAATCTAGGCCTTACTAGCACTGATGGACCAAAGGCAGATGTAGTGATAGAGTGATCCATATGTTTATTGTCCTGATGACTGTTTAGTAGCTGCAAAGCATTGTTAACTCTTAATTACCATCTCCAATTCATTAGAGTTTGGGAGTAAGATTAATAATAGTCCTTGGTTGTACTAACAGTATAATTTTTGGACAGGAGAGTTACCTGAGGCTCTCAGGGATTGACAAATCACTTGTAAAGAGGTTTAAGCTGTAGAACTTCAAATTATGGATATTTCTTTTCTACCTGGCCCCATCAGTGATTTCATTAGGTTTCCAGGTCTGTGAAATTAAGAATGAATAGTGAATTTTATATTTCATCTCTCTTTTTCCTTCCCTTCTTTGCAGCTCATTTATAATAGCTTTGCTCAGTTCTTAGTCAAGGAGAGGGGATACGATAAGGAATTGCTCACTCTGACCTCCGAGGACTGGGATTTCTGGTAAGTTTTTTTCTGTCTTTACATTCCCTGTGGCTCTTAATTATTGCTGATAAAATGTTAATGCTTACTCTTCTATAGAGGTAGAAAGTGAAATGTGAAATTGAATCAAAGGACAAAATGACTTCTGTGCTGAAATTTTTGTGATTAATGAATGAATGAAAGTCTTTTGTTCTTTAAACAAATTTAGCTATCAGCTGTGACTAATTTGGATATTTTTATGTAGTTTAAGTTGGTCACAATTAAAAAGTTGAGAGGTTATTAAGAATTAAAATTAACATCTTTATGAAAAAGTTCATTCTATTATTAAAATGAACTGTGAAAGAGTAGGACTCATCATATTTTTGAGTACATGACTGAATCAGGCTATTTGGATAAATATTCCTAATTAATCTCATTGCTTATTCCCAGATTTATGATTTTCAACTTGCAAAGATTTTTTTTCTTCTTTCTTCCTCATTTAGACAGCAAAAGTATGCCTGTGTCCCAACTGCCCAAGGCTTGAGGCTGAAAATGCCTTGAACCTAGGGTCTTATTTAGGGTTAGCTGGGCAATGTAGCAAATATCTGTCTCTAAAACAATAAATGAATTATGGCTGGTGAGATGGCTCCATCAGTAATGTGCAGACTTGAGAACCTGGGTTCAGTCCCCCAGAGCCCACATTTAAAAAAAACTGGGTGCAACAGCTTTGCCCGGAATCCTAATGCTGAGGAGGCTCCTTGGGGTTACTGGCTAGCCCTAGCAAAGTGGTGAGCTCCAGATTCAGTGAGAGATACATCAAAAAATAAAGCGGAGAGCGATAGGGAGGGACACCGACACCAGTCTCTGGCTTCCACACACACAGGCATACATGTGCATTCATACCTGTGTATTCATGTGGACACACAGGCAAATACGTGCACACAAAAAGTAATTTAAAATAAGAGAATAATAAATTGTTTAGTGTATTGGTTTTCTGTTGTGATGATAAAATACCATGACCAAGGCAACTTGCAGAAGAAAGAGTTTATTTGGTTTACAGCTCTAGAAGGATAAGAGTCCATCATGGCAAGAGGTAGTCAGAGCAGAAAACTGCGAGCTCACATCTTCAAGAACTCAAGGACGTAGAGAGAAAACCTGCAAATGGGGCAAAGCATAAGAACTCTCAAAGCCAATCCCCAGTGATGTGCTTCCTCCAGCAAGGCCACAACTCCTAAACCTCTCTGAATAGCACCACCGAGTTGGTGTATTCAAATACTTGGAGTTTATGAGGGACATTCTCGTTCGAACTACAACACTCTACCTCCTGGCCCCCATAGGTTCATGCCCATATTGTAATGAGAAATGCATTTCGTCCAACATTAAAAATTTAGTCCCCATAGGCTTTAACAGGCTCAACATTGTTCAAAAGTCTAGTGTCCACAGCCTTTTTCAGAAATTCAAGACAGTCTCTTAACCGTAAGCCCCTGCTTAAAAAAACAAAAAACAAAGTTGTGTGCTTCCAGCATGCTTCCAACATGCAATGGCACAGAATACTTACTCCTGTTCCAAAAGGGAGAGATGGGAGCATAGTGAGGAAATACCAGACCAGAACAAGACGGAAAACCAGCAGGGCATACCACATCCTGTAGCTCCATGGCTAATGTGACTTTAGATCCAAAGGGCTTAGAGGTTTCAGCCCCTTCAGCTTTGCTACCTACAGCACACATCTCTCCCTTGGGCTTGCGCCACTCCCTGTATGCAGCTCTTGTTGGCATGTCTCACAGCTCTGGCATCGCCAACATCTTGGGGTCTCCATTGCCAACCAGGTTTACCTTCACAGCTTCACACAATGACTTCTGGGGGGTGGGGCTCTTGGGTTATCAGGGCCTTTTTTAATGCAGCCACTCCCCTGCTACACATTGCCTGGACTCAGTGGTCTCTGAAACCTGAGGATAAATTGATGACCTCCCTCACTCATGCATTTCTCATTTCTCTAAAGCCAACACCATGTGAATGACACTGCCCTGTTCGGCTGCCAGCTTGTGTTGAACCTTGGTCCTCTTTGTCCAGATTACCAGCAGCTTCTGTATATTGTAGTTTTCTGGGAGCGTACAGTTCTTTATTCCTTTTCCTTTCACTAGTTGGAAGCTTAGCTGGATGGGGTCTTGCCCTGAGGGTACTCTTTCCATTGTTCTAGTACAAATCTGGAATTCTCTCTTCAATGGCTTAATCTTAATGGGAGTGGCTCTTCCAGGGCAGGCCTTGGCTACCACATTAAACTTCATAATCTTCTTTTCCTCTCCGAATTGTACATTTTGTATTTCTTTCTGTCCCATTTGCTCATTTTCATTGTAGATCTGCATGATGTTCGCCACTAATAACTGTACCACAGATTCAACAGATTTCCTCTGCCAAAGAAATTATTCCATTACTTTTAAATTTTTATTTATTATTTGTTAATTTGTTATGTGTAAGAGTGATTTGTCTACAGATATGTGTGTCATGTACATGCAGTGCCCCCAAAGGTCAGAAGAGAATGTCAGATCCCCTGGAACTGGAGATACAGATGGCTGTTAGTCCCCATGTGGGTACCGGGAATAGAGCCTGGATCCTCTGCAAGAGCAGCCAGTGCTCATAACTGCTGAGCCATTTCTCAAACCCCTATTCCATTACTTTAAATTTAGCCTCAGGCAAGTTCTTAGGCCCCAGGCAGATGGGAGTCAGATTCCTCACTAAAATGTCCTAATTTCTTTGTAAGTCCTTGTTTTTCATTGGAACACTGGTCTCAGTACTACTTTCTTCCAGCTTCATACTAAAATGGCCCATTAAGCACTCAGCTGCTTTTCTAGCCTAAACTTCCAAAGTCTTCCACAGTCCTCCAAAAACCAACATGGTTAGGTTCTTCACATCAACAGCCCACTCTCTGGTACCAACTTCTGTATTAGTTATATTTCTGTTGTGATAAAACACCATGGCCAAGGAAACTTATAGAAAGAAAAGTTTATTGGGCTTATAAGCTAAAAGTCCTTCATAGCAGAAGCATGGCAGGAGGCAGCCAGAGCAGAAATCTGAGAGCTCACATCTCTAAGAATGCATAGGAAGCAGAGCGAAATGGGGCAAGGCTTAAGACCTTTCAAACCCTGGGACTGGAAAGGTGGCTTAGCAGTTAAGAGCACTGGCTGCTTGTGTAGAGGAGCTGGGTTCAGTTCCCAACACTCACATGGCTGTTAACAACTGTCCATAATTCCAGTTCTAGGGGAATCCAACACTCACTTCTGACCTCCATGGGCATTGCATGACACGGATGCACTTACATACATGCAGACAATGCACTCACACACATAAAATCAAAATAATAAAACATTTTTTTAAAAAGGAACTCTCAGAGCCTGACCCCAGTGATATGTTTCCCCAGCAAGGCCACACCTCCTAAAACCTCCACACATAGCACCACCACTTGGGGCCAAGTATTGAAATACTTGGAGTCTATGGGGGACATTTCTTATTCAAACCATGATACTTAGTTTGAAATTAACAGTCATGAAAAATACTTGGTAAATGATCATGTATTTTTATATTCCTTCTGTATTTGTTTGGTCTTTTTATATATACCTTCCATACCAGAAAGAAACAGAAAGCTCTGAAAATTTTACTGTGAATGAAAGTAAATATGCTTCTAAAGTGCCCTTTCATTTTTTGTTTAACTCTCTTGATATTTGAAGGCCATTTTGCTGTCTTGTTTTTTATTATTCGTAATAGTGAATCTATACTTTTTGCTCCAGAGCCCACAGGTCTTTTTATAATAAAGAACGTGAAAGAGTATTTGACCTTCTTTTACTGGTTTTCAATAGTATGCCCTGCTCAAAGGGCAGGTTTTTATAAGTAGACCTCAATGAAAGCACATTCTAAATAGTGTAGAAAGTGCCATTGGTGCACAAGTTATAAATGTATGTGTGTTGTGCAAATATCCATATTCAGGCACAACTTTGTATATGTGCTTTACTTGTGTGTGTGTGTGTGTGTGTGTGTGTGTGTGTCTTACTGCAACAAGCGTGTGCCACATCGAATGTATGGAGGTCAGAAGATAGCTTTTGATGAGTCAGTTCTTTCCTTCACCATGGGATCCAGGGCTTGAACTCAGGCTGTTAGATTTGATTGACAAGCACTTCTACCCACTGAGCCATCTTGCCAGCCCTTATGTTTCAGATAATGGAGAACATTTGCACATTTTAACAGGGATATAAGATAATGTTTGCCTATCTTTTCTGAGTTTGAGTCTTCTTTCCAAAAGTTTAAAAGTCTTTATAAGCTAAACATGCTGACCTTTGTTTTCCTGCTGACCAATTTTCCTTATGCACCTGCTTTCCTGAGATATAATTTTATAGTTCTTGGATATTCTTGTTAGTTTGATTATATATTACTTGCCTGGGAAAGAAAATCCCTTTCAGCACTGTAACATTTAGTAATGTAGATTATTATGTCTAAGGTTAACTAGCTGTATGAGTTGCTTAATAATTGGATTTTTACCTTTCAGTTGCAAGGGTTTGGCCTTGGACCTGGAAGATGGGACCTTCATTAAGCTTGCGGATGATGGCACTGTGCTCAGGTAGTAAAATTTAGTTGTGGTCAAAACTGTAGTCTCTTCAGGATACTTTATTACTATAGTACTATAGTATATGGTCTTTTAAACTATAAGGTGATTATTTTAGTCAGATGATAGCATATCTGTATTAATTTTAGCCTATTAGAAATATTTTCAGCAAATACAATAGAAATTAACTTGATTCATTTTGTCGAATGCCCAAAAGAACCTGGACATTGTAGTATTTTAGCCATTTATATAGGTTTCTACAGTAAAACCTGGATTGTTTGATTAAAGAAGATGGGTACTGGGTGGGGGTTGATGGCCTGTGTGTACCCCTTTCTTCCTGCAGGTGTCCAAACCTATATCCATTACACAGGGCTCCTTGAGCTTGTCAGCCTCTCCCCCCTCCCACGCTAGTTTCCTTTCTTTTCTTCCTCTCTGAATGTGCCCAACCCTCTGAAGTGTTGATTGGGGTGTGGAAGGCAGTAAGAAGTATCATCTGTCACTGCTGAGTCATGTGGAGAGCACCAGGCAGTGAAGATCTCTTTCCAACTTCACACTCATAGTGCAGTCATGCCAACATGGCTGTAAAGTTGTGTCATTTTACCACATCATATATGCCACATGATCAGAGTCAAAGAAGACACAGTATAGAGCCCCTGTAAATATCCCCTCTTTTGATACATCATTCTTTTGTTTGATATAAGTCCTTCTCATATTTCCCTCAGACTCTCCCCTAAGATGCTTCTAAAAGGAACAGGAGTGGCCTTACCTATTATTATTTTGCAATTTATTTGTGTAATTTTTCAGCCAACCAGAGTATATGTGTCTGTGTTAGGCAAATACAGTGTATATATACACTGTAGCTTTGACCATGACCTTTAATTCTCTAACTTAGTAGTCAGGTTGGTAGTATTCCTAGAAATCATCAGTCATTCTCTTGTTGTTAATATATGTCTGTCTGCCCAGGGTCTGTTCCTCCCCATTCAACTTCTGAGTACTGGAAGCTTCTCTTGAACTCCTTAACTTGCCCTCTTGGTGCCTCCTTTCATCCAGCATAGCCGATTCCTTGACTCTTCACGTTTGCCAGTTGGGATTCCTCCATCTTGACATACAACATTGTAAAATGCTACCCTCTTTATAAAAAGTACCCCATGTGTTTTCCCTGATCTGTTACTTCATTTTTTTCATTCATACTATTTTTCTATCAGAATGAAATACACTATATGTTCTGACAATGCGTTATTTAAAATATCTCCTATTTACCTACATGGTAAGAGTCTCTTAACATAGCCCAAATGGTATAAAAGCAGTATTTTGAGCTTAGAAACTAGCTACTTTAGTGTCCTGTTCTGTTTTACTTCATTCCTCTGACTGCTTTCCAGTGTGTTTTCGTTGTGTTTGTTGTTCCATTATGTGGCCTTGTGTGGGCAAATGGTCCACTATTGTCTCCGCAGGCCCGTGGTGTTATGTGCCTGCCACTCCTCCTGTGGGCCTGATGTGGTTCATATGCCAACTCTGATACCTGCTGTTCTTTCTTAGTGCTACTGAAGTAAGAATCCCACTCAATCTATATATGTTTTCTCAATTTTTCAGCCAACCTCTCTGTCTCTCTCTCTCTCTCTGTCTCTCTCTCTCGCTCACCCTCTCTTCCTCTGTCTGTCTGTCTGTCTCTCATTATTGGGGGATTGGAACCCAAGCCCACACACTTACTAGATTAATTCCCAACCACTCGGCTGCAGCCCCAGTCGTTTTCTTTTGAATTTTGTGTTTGAGACAGGATCTCTCTTTAAGTATTCCAGAATGACTTTGAATGTGCACTCTTCCTGTCTTACCCTCCTAAGCTGCTTTATCTATTGTTTTGATTAAGCTGCAGCTTTTCTTGGAAAGGGTGGGATGTTTGGCAGCAGTAGCCCTAGAGGGAGCTTAGCTATGCACACTTGCTAAGGGGCAGATTAAATGGTGGAACAGCCAGAGCTGTAGGTAGAAAGCCCAGAGCATCCAGGTGGTAGCCTTTGAATTGATTAACTCTTACTTGGGTTGACTAGACATGTGTTTCCTGTCTTAAGTGCTTAGTACCTGAATTCTTAGGCTAGAATCCCAGACCAGTTGAAATCAAACCCAGTTGAGAATAGATTATACAAAAAGAAAAACAATAGTTGAGTATGGTAGCCCAGTGTGTAGCTCTCAGGAGGTTAAGGCAAGAGGACTGTGAGTTTGAGGCCAATGTGAGTTATAGAACAACATCCTATCTCGAGAAAAAAGAAAAATAAAATGTGGTTAACTCCAGTGGCAGCACACATCAGCAGCCTCAATGCTAGAGAAGCGACAGCCAAGGAAACTACTTGTGAACATTGTGATCCTCTCCCTAAACAGGGCAAGCCATGGCACCAAGATGATGACTCCAGAGGCACTCGCCAAGGCCTATGGCAAGAAGGAGTGGAAGCACTTTGTGTCAGACACTGACATGCCTTGCTGCTCAGGTAGGACTCACCTGCCACCCTTTTCTGCTGGACTGTGACCTGCAGTGTAGCGACTTCAGAGAAGACCCTGTGGCCCTCCAGCGGAGCAGGATAGAAGAACAGCTCTGACTTTACCACAGTAGAATGTATTTTTTCCAAGTGTCCAATTTCTATCTGGCATTAGTTCAAAATGTGCTTACTTACATTTTTTCTGTTTTATTGTTAATAGACCTTTTACACGTGCTTGTTCCAAGGTAGATTGGCCCAAAGGTGGTGCGTTCCTTAGCCATGCAGGACTGGATGCTGTGGTTATGTGCTCCTTCCTGTTTCCTTTCCCTTTCTTCCACGTCTCCATATTCCCATTGCCTGCCACTTCCTTTTCCTAGAATCCACTTCCTTTCTGCCCGCTCTCATATCTTCTCTCTCTAATTTTTATTTTCTCAAATTTAAAATGACTGTACATATCTGTAAAGAGCTTCATCAAAGCTCTTCAGAAACTATTTACAGACGTAGATGTGCACTGATTAATTTGAAATGTTTAAAATCTTTTTTCAGACGGGCAGTCCTTATTGGAATGATGCTACTTTTCATTTTGTTCTATTTTTCCCTTACACTTTTGACTCTCTCCCACACTACAGTGTTAAAATGCACTTTCCCCTCCAAAAAGTATAACAATCTGACAATGTTGTTTATTTGTTATTAGTAGTGAATTACCTTGTTTTATTTGCTGTCTTTAGAGATGTTTTGTTTAAGTGTTTCTGGTGAGTTGAAAGTGTCAGGAAGTATGGGTGCTTCTGACAAAACAAGTTGGTAAGAAAAAGATATTTTACTTTAGGGTTTAGTATAGAGTATTTTCTTTTTTTAATTATTTTCATTTTATTTTATGTGTATGAGTGTATTGCCTGCATGTATGTAAGTGCGCATGTACTGTCTTTAGAGATGTTTTGTTTAAGTGTTTCTGGTGAGTTGAAAGTGTCAGGAAGTATGGGTGCTTCTGACAAAACAAGTTGGTAAGAAAAAGATATTTTACTTTAGGGTTTAGTATAGAGTATTTTCTTTTTTTAATTATTTTCATTTTATTTTATGTGTATGAGTGTATTGCCTGCATGTATGTAAGTGTGCATGTATCATACAGTGCCTGTGGAGGTCAGAAGAGGGTGTTGGATCCCCTGGAACTGGAGTTACGGATGGTTGTTAGCGATCATTTTTCATTTTATTTTATGTGTATGAGTGTATTGCCTGCATGTATGTAAGTGCGCATGTATCATACAGTGCCTGTGGAGGTCAGAAGAGGGTGTCGGATCCCCTGGAACTGGAGTTACGGATGGTTGTTAGCGATCACATGGGTTCTGGGAATCGAACCCAGATCCTCTGTAAGAGCAGCCAGTACTCTCAACCAATGAGCCATCTCTCCAGCCCACAAAATAAAAAATTTAAATGTAGAGAAGTATAAACAAAGAAAAAAATGTTCAGTGTTCCATAACTGAGTTATACTTTGCTTAAAGTATAATCTGAGCATATGATTGGAAGTTTTGAATATTATATAAGTAAAGAACAATGGGTTCTGGATTCCATTGAGATTTCTGAGGAGACAAGAGGTTGGAGTGTTTATTTACTGGCTCATTAGTTGAGTTGGTCAGTGGCTCTAGGGCCTTTGGAAGAAAACAAGTGACGCTGTTATATTTATGTGAGAGGCTGCTCATCCCAACAGCAGGAATCAGATGTTAAGCTACAGGGATGAGAAATGGACCGTCAGAAGTGTTGCCTCAGACAAGGAAATCCAAAAGTGACCTGTGTGCCAGGGTAGGACTCAGATTTGGTTTTACCTCAAGACCGTGCAAGAATAAATCTAATCCTTTTTTTTTTTCCATGAGATCCTGGAGTATACTTGTCCTGTACTCTGAGTTTTTCTGAGACAGGTCACCATGCTCTCATGTTATCCCCATCATCACCCTGGGTATTCCCAAGTTGTCTAGCTATTTGTCTAAAATGGCATAAAAATTAAATGCAGTGTTCTAGGTGGCCAGTCAGTCAGTCAGCACAGGTATTAGAAGGCACTTTATGTGAAGCATCTCACAGGGCTTTAATTCCAGTGCTGAAAAAGTGAAAGCAAGTGGATCCTAGGGATTCTTTGGCCATTTCCAGGCCAATGAGAGACCCTTTCTTAAAAACAAAAGGTGGAAGGTACCTGAGAAATGACACCCCAGGTTGTTATCTGTCCTCTACTTGTACACACATACACAGGTGCTCCTGCACACATAGACACACACACACACACACACACACACACACACAGACCACATACACACACACAAAATAAAATGGACGCTCTTCAAATAAGCTAAAATCTATTCGGATAAGTTTATATTTTCCACATGCATGAGCATTGAGTTTTTTTTTCAATTTAAAAGACTTTGTGGGCTGGAGAGATGGCTCAGTGGTTAAGAACACTGGTTGTTCTTGCAGAGGACCCGGGTTCGAACTCCAGCACCTACATGGCAGCTAACAGCTGTCCGTAACTCCAGTTCCAGGGGATCCAACAGCCTCTTCTGTTCTCCACATGCATTGCACAACATTGGTACACTTACCTACATGCAGGCAATACACGCATACACATAAAATAAAAATAATAAATACGAATATTTTAAAAAATAAAGCTTCAAAGGTTTTGCTCTGTTCTTGTTTTAGGAAAGTGTTATTTTTATGATAACTACTTTGACCTCCCGGGAGCTCTTCTGTGCGCCAGAGTGGTGGATTCTTTAACAAAGGTGAGTGGGCACTCATTTTTGAAACAACTGCGTGTATCTAGTCATAAGCAAAAGGTGTTAATTGTGTTGAGATTTTCTTTAGTTTTCTTTTGGTGGTTTCAGAGGTGACTGAGGAAGAAAACATGGTGAATTTGATCAAAATGTTTTGGAAAATTAAATAAGAGTATTTTGGTTTTGGTCAAGAAAAAAATCAACCTATTCTCCACTAGGGGGTGCAGAAGTCTGGAAAAAGAAAACAACACGCTCTGGAAAATGTTTTTCTTGGTTTTATTAGCAGATTTTTTAAAAGTAGCAAAGGTAATTAAAGAAACTTCCATGTGTCTTTAAACATTTTAAATTACATAGTTTTTTCTTTCAGTTTTGTGAGGGATTTGTTGTTTTTGTTGTTGTTGTTTGTTTTTTAAGACAGGGTCTCACTATGTAGCCCTGACTGGCCTGGAACTCACTTTGTAGACCAGCCTGGCCTGAACTCACAGAGATCCACCTGTCTCTGCCTCCTGAGTGCTGGGATTAAAAGTGTGAAGCACGATGTTTGACTAAGGGAAAAAATTTTAATCATTTGCTTTGTGCTAAGTCTAGATGAAATAAATGCCTAGTTTGACAGTTTATGCTTAGAGCTTAAGACCTATCAATATACATTGGTTTCTAAGCCAGAATTGCTATCCTTTTTGCAAACATTGTCTTTTAAAATCCCAGTTGACTGTATAAATGGCATATTTTTAAAATTGGAATTACACTCATTTGTTTTTGAAAGCTTCTGTTGAGCAGTAAGATTTTATTATTTGGGATTGGTTTGGTTTAGGTACTGGGGATTGAACTCAGAGCCTCCAGCATGCAAAGACATCACCACTGAGTAATGACCCCAACATTGTAGTTTTTATTATCATGAAATAAAATCAATTTCATATCTTATAGCTACTGGGGAAAAAAGTATCAAATCTCCTCCCTTCCAGTGCTGGAGATCAATCCAGGTCCTTAAGCCTGCCAGGCAAGGTCTCTACTGCTAAGCTTCACCTCCAGCCCCTAATTTATTATTAGTTAGTAGTGGTTTTTTAGAAGACACTGTTGATATTTCTTTGAAGCAAAGGACTATAGAGTTGTGTATTTTAATGTAATATTTTTTGCTTACTAGTTAAATTTCTACAAATGACTTACATTTTGGATGTAGTGACCTGCTATTCTTTTGCGTTGAAATCCAGGTTAAGTGAACACTGAATTCTGAACTAACCAGCTTCGGGGCTTGGGAACTCTTGGCTCTATTAATGCCATCAGTAACACATTCTGATATTTTAGAAGGCATAGAACATTGTTAATTTGCTTATATGTTTAAACATAGCTATCATTTTTAGACTCTACGAGTGGACATTTTTACTTTATTTGGGCTATGTGAGTTGCATTAATCTTTAGTGATAGTTCTGTGTGTATAGACTTGTAGCAGTGATTTTGTAGAATATTCCTAAAGCACATTGAATAGAATGAGAACTTTATTAATCTATCATGCTTTCTAATACCTAAATCCCTACCTTAGAATCAAGTAATGTAATTGTTTGCCATCACCACTATGCTTAGAAACAGAATTACTGCATTTGTTACATTTGGTAATTTCTTTTTTTAGCAGAACAGAGGTCAAAAAACATTTGATTTTTGGAAGGATGTAGTTGCTGGTATACAACACAATTTTAAAATGTCAGCTTTTAAGGGTGAGTAATGAGAAGAGAGGCTTCCTGGTAGAGGTTTGTTAATCACTCGTGTGTCCCAAATTAGATAGATGTTGCTTCTTTTGCTGTACTCTTTACTTGAGATTTAACTTGGTAAAAATGTTTGCTGTAAAGTTAGCTCTGCCTACATTTTAAGAGATTCTTTTATTCATGTCTACTTTGTGATAATAATTGCTAGTCTTTTGAACTGCCTTTACATGCCTAGCAATATGTTTGTTGTGGGGCTGTGGGTTGGGGGTCACCTAGAACTTAAGTCCAGTTTCACTGTTTTCTGGCTTAGGAGTGGGAGCTGATGACATCTGTAACTCTTATTGTAGTACTGACAGAGGTGGGCAAATTGGATGTGGTAGAATTTCCATTCTTGTTGCTTAGGGAATAGGAGTGCTTGACCCAGAATGGGGGAATGGGGCGGAGTGACTGCCAACCTCAAGCCTTGGGCTTTATGTTTTCGTCCACAGACTTGCTTGGGTTGTACAGAGTCTTGTTCCAAGGAATAAATAGATGGCTTTGTGTTATGTTACCCAGTGATTGAATCAGGCTGGATTAATTCAGCGAGAGGCTGATGAATGCTACGAGCTCTATTTTCAATTTTGAAACATGTTGCCTTTTGATTGACACCAAAAAATTACATGCCTTCTCTTCAGTAAATCAAGACATCAAAATAATTTTAAATATTATGACTAAAATGTGCTAAGGCAACAAATAATAATTGCAGGATACTTGTTCCAATTAGCAATTTCTCTGACCTGCTTCATCCTCTCTGCTCTGCCCCCCACAGAAAGAAACAGTGCTTTGAGGTGAAGTTTTTTCATTTTTTCATTTTCCTGTGTCCAGTTACCAGTCCTTGGCCTTGGTTTTTAGGTAGTTCTCACAATACTGGGTATGTGGAATGCCCATGACAACTATAAAACCACCCACCCCTAATTGGTTGGGTTTTTTTTTTTCCCCCTCATTAACTTTGTACAAGAAGCCTTAAACAACGTGGCTTTGAATACCCAGTTGCTGCTTTCAAGTAAATTCAGAATAAAAAAATCTTTTGATAATCATTTTATTGCTTTGTAATAACAAGTAGATTAAATATTTCGTGCTTTAATAAGTGAGGTACAGCTTAACAGTTTTAAACAGTAATATAAAAATACAGTACAGAGCATAAATAAATAATGTCTTTTCATTTCTAGTCAGATTTTGAAGACCTTAATGTTAATTACACTTTCACTGGAATAGAAGGCACAAAGTACATATGCTAATATTCTATAAGCCTATAAAAATCATTTTACACATTCAACAAGGAATTAAGTCAGATTAATCACACTGTATTATATAAATAAGAATAGGTCAGACAACTGTGTCCAAGTTCTGCCAGGTATATAGATTTTCCACAATTACAGAAAAGCTTGAAAAGGTTCATCACTAAGCACCTTGCAATTCAAATTAATTTTAACACAATATTTTGGTTTCTTATGAGAGCTTTAAAAAATACATATGCACCTTGGTATTTGCATGGATCTTAATGAAAGGGGCCATAGAAGCGTTAGAGTAATGCACCATCAGAAATATCCTAGGGTATACAGTATCATTTAAATTTGAATATTCAAGTATTTAAGTTATATAAAATTATGTGATACTTCTTGAATGTTTACTAGAAATCTTATCGATTGTTAGAAACAGGCTTCTTTTAGAAGGAAATGCTAAGTTTCTGAAATGCAATTTAATGTTAGAACCTATTTCTGTTTTTCTGTGTTTTTATTTTTAATTTCATAAGACTCTTCTGATACAAATTTTAATATTGAAGGAGTTCACAGACAGTCTGCTAGGCCTTAGGATTGCTGACTAGAAGCTCAAGAGAGTCTTCAGCTAGTTATTTTCGCTGCTCACTTTCACAGGAGGAAACCTGTCGCTCTAGAAGTTCCAATCTGCACTTTAGAAAATTAAAATTGCTCACATTACGTGTAGCCTACCTCCATATGCATCTCACAAAGAGGGATGGAGTTTGGGGAATGCCTTTCCAAGAAAAGGATGTAAATCATCTCGGTGGGGATATGCTTACATGGGAGCCACCAGGAATCCTGAGAAGGAGGAGTGGACATACTCAGAGGAGTAGAGGCCATTTGACTCTGCATTGGGCAGCTGGAGCCACACCTGGTCATTTTCTGTGAGCTCAATGATAGCACTCCCTGAAGCCTGATCCAGGTAGCCCTTGCTGTACTCATCATAGGTGTACATTACAGGAGTACCATTCTTATACAGGCCTACCCAAACGTGAGTCCCTTTCACGTGCACATGGTAGGAGAAATAGTATATTCCTGGGATCCTACAGGTAAAGATTCCAGTTCTTGGGTCATAATGCTGCTGCCTGTTATATAAAATCTTGTCAAATGGGATGGGGGCACCTACTGCTGGGTAAGCTTTGGAGAGGATGACAGTAAAAGCTGACACAGGCATTCCTGTTACTCCCTGGTTGGCACTGACTAGAGGCATCCCAGAAAGCCTGGGCCTTTGACCTGCCTTTATAAAGCCATTGGGCATCACTGCTTGACCAGGTGGACCAGGGGGTCCTGGAGGACCTGGGAGACCAGGCTCTCCATCATGGCCTCTTGGACCTGGAGGCCCTGGAGGGCCAGTGGGCCCACTGAGGCCCTTAGCTGCTATGCCAGCTGGACCAGGAAGACCTGGGTTTCCAGGGTCGCCCTTAGATCCAGGGAATCCTGGAATACCTGGTGGCCCAATGGGGCCTCTGGTACCTGGTATTCCAGGGGCACCTCTTGGGCCTGTTTCACCATCGTGTCCAGGTGCTCCCTTTGCTCCTGCTGGGCCTGTGGGACCTTCGACACCAGGAGGTCCTCCCAATCCAGGGTCACCTTTTGGGCCTGGTAATCCTGGGTTACCCTTAGGACCATTGAGACCTGGTTCCCCAGGATACCCTGGTTTTCCATCAGACCCAGGGGGGCCCCTTGCTCCTCTAGCTCCAGGTGGCCCTGCAGGCCCTACTGGCCCTGTCTCACCTTTAGCCCCTGGAATACCATGGTTCCCTGGGATCCCTTTGGGTCCTTGGGGTCCCATATCCCCAGGAGGTCCTGTCAGACCTGGCTCTCCAGGATGACCTGCTGGTCCTTGTTCCCCTTTGGCACCTGGGCCCCCGGGAAGGCCAGCAGGTCCTCTTTGTCCCCTCGCACCTGGCAAGCCTGGTTTCCCAAAGCCAGGAACCCCTGGAGGCCCAGCCATACCTGGAGCCCCTGGATGGCCTTTTTCTCCTGGAATACCTGGCTGGCCTGGAGCTCCAGCAGCTCCTGGCTTCCCAATTCCTTCTGTTCCTCGCTCCCCAGCAGGACCTCGGGGACCTGGTGAGCCTGCTGGCCCCCTTTCTCCTGTGAAACCTCTATCACCTTTAATGCCTGGTTGTCCAGGAAACCCATTTTCACCTCTTTTCCCCACTCCAGGAGGGCCAGGTGGTCCTACAGGACCCTGAGGGCCTGGAGGACCCCTTTCACCTGGACGGCCAGGAGCACCGTATCCTGTTTGTCCTTTCTGCCCATTAGCTCCAGGGGCTCCTGGTGCCCCCCTTTCTCCAGGAAAGCCCCTGGGTCCTGGGGAACCTGTAAGTCCTTGCTGTCCAGGTTTCCCTGGCACAGCAATCCCAGCCGGCCCAGGACTACCAGGTGGCCCTGGAGGGCCTCGTGGTCCTGGTAAACCAGCTGGTCCAACATCCCCTTTTGGTCCTGATGGTCCTCTTTCCCCTGCTTTTCCTGGCAGTCCTGGCAAACCTGGCTTCCCTGTGGCTGATATTCCTGGTGGTCCTGGCAACCCTGGTTCTCCTTGGAGTCCAGGACTTCCATAGCCTGGTTTTCCTGGTGGTCCTGAGGGCCCTGGGTGCCCTCGAGGTCCAGCGGGGCCTGGTGGACCAGGAATGCCTTGCTGTCCTCTTACTGGAATACCTGAAAGAGGTACCAACATACCACCCAACATTAGTAACATTAAAAGTGACCAGAGATTCTCAAAGCGTGATCAGGTCAGGGCACCTCAGTGTCACATATTCCAGACAAGTCTTCCACAGAACAGTCTTAAATGGGCTCAGAAGACAGGTATTATATATACAAATATAATAAATATACATATATACAAATATTCTAGATTCTTCTAGAGACTGTGGCTATCATGATACTTCGGTCATACCCTGATGAGCCATGAAACTAATCTATCATTGAAGACTTCCTCCCAAATAAGCATACAGTGGAGGTGAATTGATCACATTTGTTTTAGGAAAATTAACTACTTAGAAAAATAAGAGCAATATTTGACAGAAAAGGAAGGAAAAGACAAATGGGTAATAAATGAAAAAAATGCTTAAGAACTACAGCAGTTTCTACTCACAAAAGGTTTTCTGTAAGACACAGGTGAGAGAGAAAATTAAATCTTACTTATAGCTACCATGCCCTACTGAAAAACTTAGATTTAGATTTATTATTTTTTCAACCTCAGAATGTACTGTGAGCGTTCATTCTCTCCTTTATTGACTTAATGTTGAAACAGAATTAGAGAGCTAAACACAATGCATTAACGATGTAATAGGACAGTTGCAAAGTGCTTATCGAAATGCAATAAATGTTTGATTTTATAAAGCTGTGGGTTCATTTGACCAAAGTATTGTCTTTCTCTGGTGTGCTATACTCAATTTCAGCAAGCTTTTTTCCATGCCTGTGATAAATAAGAAAGTGCTGTTGGGCCACAGGTGTGGGGGGTGCACAAGGTCTGAGCTCTAGTGTCCTCGGAGGGAATAATCAGTGCTTTGAGAAGTCCTTCAGAGGTGAGATGTAGCTGGGCACCGCAGGCGTTAGTATATGCCATGAAGGATTCTCAAGTGTTCTTTGTTTCTCAGAGAAAGTTTAACAGGTAGCAAAGATGACAATCAAGTTGTATGGTTTTTAATGTCTGCTAATAGAATTTATATTAAAATTATTTTCTTTAACTTTTCAGAGACAGAATATCTTCTTACACTATTTAGATTCTTATACTGTAGGAAAACAGTTCAGAGTAATGATGATTTAGCAGATGCAACAGTAGTTGAATAGCTTGCTCAAAACTATAAAAAATGATGTTTAGCTATGACCCATTTATTACCGTGTGTGTGTGTGTGTGTGTGTGTGTGTGTGTGTGTGTGTGTTACTAGACATCAAAGCCAGTGCCTCACACATACTTGGCAAGTGCTCTACTACAGAGCTGCACCCCTAACTATATGCCTATCACTTTTTGACAAAACTTGTTTTAATATGATAAACTATAAAACTTAAGTGGCAGAGACTAAAGGGTCATTATAATCAAATGCCTTGAAATAATTCTAAATTATCTTTGATAGCATTTTGATGAATATTGTTCCCTTTACCTATTAGTTATTGGTATACAGTACATTACTTTTTTAAAAACCTCTCCTATTACCTGGTTGTCCTATTAGTAGTTAAACAATACTAGTTACTAATATTCTCATAGGTAAAGATGCTCCTGAGATTTTAAAACCATTTCATGTATAGATAATACAGATCAAGTAATTAGGATAGATATGTTGAAGTAGGAAAACCCTCACTTTAAATATAAGTATCTTTATATTTTGAGCTCATTGGATTTTGAGCTAATTATATTTCTTCTTACAAATATGTAAACATACACAGATTTTCCCATGGATGCTTATAAAAACCGTTTTAAGAAAAAGACTATAAGAAAAGTCAACATTTGGAAAAGTTTCTATATATTGAGACATCTCTTGATGATAACTTCAGAGTATATCCATGTTATAGCTGTATGTACAAATTTTGACCCAGTGCAAATAAAATTGATGAATAAGAAATTTTGAAATAGCTGGAAGTAAAATAGCATAGTTTTCAAATGCAAGATTTGCTTCAGCATCTAATCATAAGAATCACATTCATCCAAAAGTAATTGTCATGGAATTATGAAAACATGTTTTCCTGTTAAGAGGAAAAATAAGTTGTAGTAAGAAGGGCTGCACTGGATACTATTGGAAAGTAGGTCTCCATGGCTGGGTGATCTTTGAAACCTGGAATGTTGCCCAGGGATCCTAAATGTCTCAGTGCAAGAATGAATCTGACTTCTTTTGAATACTTGAGGGGAGAGCCACGTGCTTGTAGCTTTCAATCTGAAAAAATAAGCTTAGGGCAGCACCATCCTTCAGGAATGACAGTTGCCTACTACTGATGTTCTTAGTCATCTATAAACTGGGGTGTGTCTGGTGTATCAGAATGTGACACTTGTGTCTGCCCAACAACTACAGAATTCTCTGCAGCAGAATTTAGTGTGTTTTGGCTAATTTCTCTTTTAACTTGGGTTAAGCAGATTTGTCTAGAGATTACATAGGAACTTTCTGGATTACTTTTAACAATTCAGTGTGGGCATTTGTATTTGTTATAGTGCATTAATGCCTGCCAATGGATATCAATATATTGGATTTCTATGTCTCGTTAGCAAAAAGAGAACAAGGTAGGTTTAATAGTGAAATATAGCTTCTAAACTTTTTATCTGTTAAGATGTTTCCATTTGTTCTGCAAAAGTAATAGAACCAGTGGTACATTTTTAGGTGGAAAGATAGATATGTGTTTAATCTTCTAAAAGTGGTGCATTTTACTTTTAATCCTATACTCTTTTGAGCTTTGGTAAGCTATTAAAAAGTCTGAATTTGATCAGAGAGTACTGAATCTCAGAGCATTTCAAATCACAAGGTTGCTTCAAGTAAAGTAGTAGGTTTGTCTTGTATTATTTCTTTGCTAGCTTTTATCTTTTTTCTCCATTTCTCTATGAGACAGTCAAGAGTATCTCTTGTACTTTTTAAATATTAAGCTTCTTCTCATGAAATCTTTAAAATTTCCTCTTCTTAAAAAAGACCATCTTAAATATTTTACTTATTCAGAATGCTTCTTTTCAAAAAAAAAAAAAAAAAAAACCTTTAAAGGCTATGACACTTGACCTTGGCTTTGTTTGCAGGACAAAGTATATAACTGAAGTGGAAAACATGGAAATGTGACGACAGTTTATATTATTCAGTAGATGTTCTGTAGACAGTGTGTGTCAGATACTGCTAAATGGAATTAGGCAAGATCTGTAACCACTGTCCTTCTTTGACGATCTCATAGTTCTTCACAGTAACAAAGAAAGCTAGACAGATGAGAGAGTGATTCCAGAGGAAACGTGTCTGGAGCTGTCCCAGCAGAGTAGTAGAAGTAGAGCTGGAAGCAGAGGATAGTGTAGCAAAGCAGACTGTGAAGCACACGACAGATGCCGACTTAGTCACCATTCACAGCAGCCCTCAGAGCCCTGAGCTCACACAGCTAAGTGCATCTAAGCACCACACTATATACAGATGTATAAATAAGTGGGAGAACTGCTACTTCATTTGCACATTAGATCTGTTGGGGGCCATCAGATTTTATCTGATACCAGTTTTCTTCAATATTTACAGGCTAGGGTTTTTTTTTTTTTTAAGGCAAACATTATTTAGATAAATAAACCTAATCTCTATACAATTATTTTTTAGTTTAAAATTCTTTAAGTTAACTTTACAGAATTAATATTTTTAGGTTATGAGCAGGAAATTGTGTGACAGCATCATTTGAAAGAAAAAAAGTCTCATATATAGACTGTCTTTGATACTCCTCAGGTGTGTCGTGCTATTATACCAACTTGTCCATGAATACTTGTGTTTCCCTATACACTTACTTTTTCCACAGATCATTTTGTTGTAGTAAGTCGGGTCAATTTAAGAATGTAAAATAGATTAACAGAGAGGAATGAACTTTGTTAAAGAGATCATCATTAGGATTACAAAAAGGACCAGCCCTCCAGCTAATAGAGCAAAAATGTCTAATTCATTTTACCTTTACTCTTTATGGCATAAGGGATGAAGAACTGCGTCTTGGTGTTAGGATGTGGGCCCTTTATGCCTGTGGGTGTTTGGTATTGCTCAGCATAAAACCCTCCTTGAACCAAGTTCAAGAACATTAGCAGCAAAAGTGCTGTCTGTGGCAGCATATTTTCAGATGGACTCTGAAAAACAAGAATAATCACATACAGACCTGTTACTGATCTGTTTTATTTTTCTGGTGTTGCACAGATGAACATATAATTCTCTCATTTTCTACTGACCTTTCATATTTTGACTATATTCCATTAATTAACAGGATAAAAGTTTTTGTTATATGAATATGTGTCTTAGAAGTTTTTGGAAGCTGCATTCAAATAATTAGCTAAAAATAAAACTACATCCCCAATTACTTCATTATTAGATGACTATATTAAATAATTCAGAATTTTGAAATAACCTGATAGAGATAGAACTTTCAAGATACACTGAAATTCACATTAGAGCAAATCTGTATAACTGTTTTTATTAAGAATGCCATATATGGATGGATACAAATAAATCTTCCTGGGTGCCTTTGGCTAGAAAGTTATTTTTAAAAATCATGCATATTCACAAAAACAATATTATTGACGCTGGTGTCCAGGTTTGCATGGAGGTCTAGCAGTACCCTCAGTTCACAGACTCACCTGGGTGCTGGGAGTTCCTGGAGATGGTGTGTTAGCAGTTTTCCTGGTCTTCCTCTGCCCAGGTGAGCAGTGGGTAGTGCCCTCTCCACAGCTGCCCTGAGTTATTTATACTGTTTTCCCCTTACTGCATGAGGTTACCCTGAGTCTAAGCTCCTCCCCTTAGAGGTGGTAAGCACTAATTATGGTGAAAAGTGCTACTAGGCAGGCATACAGAGTGGGGTTGAGTGCTCTGTTTTCCTTGTTGAGAAATAAACTCTTTGTCTTCAATATATATTAATAGTTTAACCATACACTTTTTTTCCTCTATTTCATTTTAAAAGTTATGACTCCAGTTGTTGGTTCATGATTGAATGATGATTCTCCCCTTTTATTTTTAAAAGGTACATTCTTGTGTTATTTGGTTGAAAATATTTGGTAGTATATAAAAATAGGAGACTTATTTTTGGAAGAATATGAGTTTCAATCATGTTAATTCTTCAGTTATTATAAAAGTAGCTTACTCCTGTTCTAGCTTTTTTTAGGCTTGAGCTAAAAGAAGAAAACGGTGAAAATGTAGGCTTGCTGTTTTGCATAGAATCAGGATTTTAGGGTAAGCTCTCAGAAGCTAATAAACAGAAATGGTAGCATTAAATACTTCAAAATTGTCATATTAAATAGTTTTCAATTTTGAGACAAATGCAAGATATCTCAGATTTATAGCAGACCTAACTGGTTAGTTACCCTGAAGGCTTTAAATGCCTTATTTCATTAATATGCCTTATCACTACACTAAGGCCAATAAGTGACTACAGATTTTCTTCCTTAAATTTGCATTTTACTTTATAGTTGGAAAAAAAACCCTTAACTTGATAATCTTGTAGTATGTTTATTACAGAAAGTTTTTATATTCATTTTAAAAGAAAAAAATTTCTCAAACTTTGCTTTTAGCTTTTTAAAAATACATTTGGTTGACACTGCAATTTCCTTCAGGGATCTTGAATCATCCCAATTAGAAACGTTTTTCTCCCAGAGGTGGAAATAAATATCATCACTGTCAATGTCAGTAGTTAGTGTTCTCTGTTATGAGGGTAGAGAATTTATAATCAGTTTTTAGGATTCTAAAAAATCAAATAACTGAAGTTGAGAGACCAAGTTTTGTATCCTGTTTGATATTTTGTAATATCATCATTTGAGCTCTAAATCAAATAATCTGTGCATGTGAACAGGTTTGAATGGAATTCTATGGGCAGTACTAATACATCATTTTTTTGCATCTAACTAGAATTAAGATAGTGTGGATTCAGGATTGATCAAGACTTAAAATACTTGAATGTTGAACAGATGAACTAATGGTCTGTCCTCTCCCTCTTACAGGCCTTTTTCTGTGTGTATTTAAACAAAGTCTTTTGTTGCATCTCTTAGAAATATAAATGCATAACTCATTCTCTCTTCTCCTAAATGTTTTGCTGACTGCCATATTGTTAAAAACTCTGTATATGTTTCTATGTAAGACTCAAATACATAGAAAATACGGCTTTTTAAAAGATTTTTGGTTTTGGTTTTGTCCAAGGTCTTGCTGTGTAGCCCTGGCTAACCTGGTCCTCATTATATCCCAGGCTAGTCTCAAACTCACAGCAGCCCTCCTACCTCAACCTCCCAAGTGCTGAGATTATAGATGTATACCACCGTGCCTAGCTGGAAGTATGATTGTTACTGTCAATTCAGATTATCAAGAGAACCAGAGAACTGATACTCTAATCAGTTTTTTTTAATCATTTGGAACTCATATATAGAACAACTTTTGCAATAACATGAACTCTACACATCTGTAAGAGACCATAAAAGAGCAGTGAGAGAATATGCTGCCTTCCATTTACTTACGGCTCACTAGATACCATTCTGAAAATGTAAATGAGGTAATATGGCTGCTCTTCAGTTCTAGAATGAAGAATGATATTTCAGTATTGTTATGAATGGCTGTACATACGCTTGTGTTTATGATTGAGAATGATACTGATATCTAGTTAAATACTATCCTGTAAATGTTCTGAAAACAAATTCTTAGCTCTGTACTGAGTACTTTGCCCCTCTGTTCAGTTTGTTCAGTTATGGCTACTCTGATTTTCAGAGCATTCCTCCTTAACCTTCTACATGTCTGGTTTTTTGTCAACACTATGAAAAGTTTGGACTAGGGGATTTTTAAATGCCTCCTGGTTTGGTTTTGTTTTTTTAACTTTTAAAAAATATTTTATTTTATGTGTATGTTTGTATTGCCTGCATATAGGTAAGTGTACCCATGTTGTGTAATGCCCGTGGAGGACAGAAGAGGCTGTCGGATCCCCTCGAACTGGAGTTACGGACAGTTGTTAGCTGCCATGTGGGTGCTGAGATTCGAACCTGGGTCTTTTGCAAAAACAGTCAGTGTTCTTAACCACTGCGCTCTCTCTCCAGCTCCAACTCCTCCTAGTTTTAAAATTAGACTATTCTTTTGCTTGAGGTATCCTTCTGGCCCTCCATAGTCAGTTGTAAAGTTGGCGCCATTTCATACTTAAGAGCCCAAAAAGAAAAATAAAATCCCTGCTCGGTGGTTATGCACCTTCTTTGGGGGATGTGTAAATATATGTGGTATCTGTCACTCTATATTCTCCTTTAGCTTTGGAAAATGTGGCGTCTTACTGGTAGACTTTGGGTATTCAACCCTTTTGGCAAATAGTGTATCCCTTTCATTACACAGCCTCTGTCTGCCATTTGCTTTGTTAGTCAAATACAAAGCACTGTCTTGTCCAAAACAGATTGTAGAATGAGAATATTTGCTGGTCATATCCACACCCAATTGTGTGTTTAAAACTATTTTTATTCTGGGTGTTTACTTGTAGCTGTTAGAATTCATTAGTCTGTGGCATAATGAAGGAAACCTATTTCACTTGAAACAGAGAGCCCTGCCTTCCAAGTCAGCAGCCTCAATGAGTTTTTAATATCAAATATGAATCGATGTTTTTGCACATGTAATAGTTAGCTGCTGTTAAGCCTGTCTTTTCATCTGTGCACCCTGGGTCATTCATTCATTCACCAAATATTTCTTGAGTACCTCTTAAATGTCAGACACTGGGTAAATACTGTGTGAATAATGCACATTCCTGTCCTTGAGGTGTTTGCACAGTGGCTCTAGGCCTCGTTCCCAACTCCTAAAGTCCTGAGGGATGTGACACTGTTTTATGTTTGAGTTCATTAAGATAGCAAAAGTTCCACAAGTGGTTATGGTGGACTCTTAGTTAGAATATGTGATCTGATAATGTTTTTACAAACTTACTAATATTAAGAACCTTTTTTGTTATTTGTGTTCATATTTTTAAATTTTATTATAGAAAAATTTGATCTTATCTAGAAATGGGGAATGGCTACAGTGAACACTTTGATACCCATCACCATATCGCAACTCACAGTTAGTCTCCCTTCTGGCCACTGCTACCCCTCCAAATTTTGAAAAATAAGCTCAGATATGGTGCCAGTTCACCTATGAATATCTTAATAGATCTCTCCAGAAGATAAATGCTTTTTTTAAAAAAAGTATCACATTGTATCTGAAAAATTAGTCCTTTCTCAATAATATCAAATACTTCAGTGCCTTTTCACATTCTCCATTTCTTATGGACAATACATACATATATAGATATACATATTCATTATATATACATACATACATGCATACATACATACATATACCAGCAGAGAAATCACATGCATACATACATACACATGCTTATATAATTTTTATGGTTGATTTATTGTTTGTTCAAACCATGCTCATGATTTGCCACTGATTAATACATGTGTGTTGGCATGGGTTTCTTGTCCCCATCGCTTCTCTCCCACTGGCAGCTTATTTATTAAAAACCTGAGTCCTCTGTCCTGTGCAGTTTCCTATAATCTGCCTTTTGTTATCACTTAACTCTCTCTTCTGTTGCTAGAGTGTCAATGTGCTTCAAAGTTGATATACGTGCATTCTCATACAGACAGAACTACCTTTCTTTCAGGAATGCTTTGCTACTTTGGGAAGAGTGGTGTGGCCTGTTTTAGTCAGGAGGCCCTCCTTGCCTGTTGCTTCTGGTGTTATCAGATGCTGGTAATAACCTAGCTTCGTTATAGGTTGTACAGTGATGATACTCAACTTTTTATCATTCCTCTTTTATTTAATTAGCTGAGATGTTTTGTTTAATTAGCTGATTGTATGAGGAAAGGCATGTCTTGACCACCTGTTTGGTTGTTCTGGGGTACCGTTTGTAGAGAGAGAAAACCAAAAAGGATCAATGAATTCACAGTACTCAAAGCGAGCTTGCTTCTTAGCATCCTCTGGAGGTAGCACCATAACGTGTTTGTGTGGTATGTTTGAGCATTGTGATAAACTTACAGATGTAAATGTATTTCATGTGTCTCAATTCATGATAATTTTATTATTGCTCAGAATTTTTCTCCATCTTTGGTCAGTGAGAGTATCCCCAAGTTGACTCCCAAATTCCTGTGACAGCATCTCAGTAATCTTTAGTGGTTTCTTTTGCTTTTTGTGACCCAGCTGTGCAATAAGACAGTTCTACTTAAAATCTTGTCTCTTTTAATGGAAATAGAAATTAGAAATTATAGTTGAGTTGTCTAGATGTCTGTGTTCTGTGGTTGGCCATTGCTCCTGGGTTGGGCCTTGTTTTGTTGTCTATAGCTTTTTCATTGACCAAAGATAAAAATTCCATGCATGTAATATTAGCTTAATATAAAAGATACCATGACTTGATGCTGATACATCCAATTCACATCTGGGATCATAGGATGTTTGCTTAATGAACTCAAACTTGTATCTTTAGCTCCTTAATCACACCCTAAATATCCCAGTTCTCGTGCAGCAGTGCAGTGATGCATTCAGCTTATTCTATAATACTCATCAGTCTCTGCCAGTACTACCATTTGCACCATGATACTGAAAACAGTTAAACTGCCGCATCGATGAATTTTGCAATTCCTTTAGTATTTCTGGAAGAGCTATGTAATCAAAGCACTGTTCTATAAATTCTCTTGAAATGACTGATTTTTCTA